TAACCAAAGAAATAAAGGACCTAGTCACAGAAAACTACACATCATTGAAAAAAGAAATAGAGGAAGATATTTAAAAAGTGGAAGCACATACCATGTTCATGGATTGGAAGAATTAACCTCATTAAATGGCCATACTACTCCAGGCAATCTATAGATTCTGTGCAATCCCCATCAAAATACCAACAACATACTTCACAGAACTAGAACAAATACTTCAAAAGTTCATATGGAACCAAAAAAGACCTCAAATAGCCACAACAATCTTGAAAAAGAAGAACAAAGTAGGAGGGATCACATTACCAGATTTCAGGTTACACAACAAAGCCACTGTAATCAAAACAGCCAGGTACTGGCACAAGAACAAGCAGATAGATCAATGGAACAGAACAGAGAACCCAAATATTGACCCAAGACAATAAGCTCAATTAATATTTGACAAAGGGGGCAAGAGCATACAGTGAAGTAAAGACAGCCTCTTTAATAAATGGTGTTGGGAAAATTGAACAGCTACATGCAAAAAAAAATGAACCTACACCATCAGCTTACACCATACACAAGAATAAACTCAAAATGGATAGAAGACTTAAATGTGACTCACGAATCCATAAAAATCCTAGAAGAAACTGTAGGTAACAATATTTCAGACATCATATGCAGCAGAATTTTCACTGATACATCACCTAAAGCAACAGAAACAGAGAAGAAAATGAACACATGGGACTACATCAAACTCAAAAGCTTCTGCACAGCAAAAGATACAATCATCAAAATGGAAAGGCTACCTGCTGTATGGGACAGCATAATTGCCAATGATATATCAGATAAGGGGTTAATTTCCAATATATAGAGAGTACTCATACAACTCAACAAAAGGAAGACAAAGAACCCAATTAAAAAATGGGCAGCGGAACTAAATAGACACCTCTCCAAACAGGACATACAAATGGCTGAGAGACATATAAAGAAATGCTCAACATCACTAATCATCAGAGAGATGCAAATTAAAACAACAATGATGTATCACCTCACAACTGTCAGAATGGCCGCCATCAACAAATCACCAAACAACAAGTGTTGGTGAGGGTGTGGAAAAAAGAGGACTCTAGTATACTGCTTGTAGGAATGCAGACTGGTCCAGCCACTCTGGAAAACAGTATGGCGTTACCTCAAAATATTAAAAATTGAACTTTCATTTGACCCAGTGATCCCACTTCTAGAAATATACCCTAAGAAGCCTGAAACACTAATCAGAAAGAATATATGTACCCCATGTTTGTAGCAGCACTATTTACAATAGCTAAGATCTGGATACAGCCCAAATGTCCATCAGTAGACAAATGGATAAAAAAGCGGTTGTACATATACACAATGGTGTACTATGCAGCTGTAAGAAAGAAAGGTCTCTTATCCTTTGAGATGACATGGAGGGCCCTGAAAAGTATTATCCTAAGCAAAACAGAAAAAGACAAGTATCATATGATCTCACTTATTTGTGGAAAATAATGAACATAACAGTCTGAGGAACTGGGTAGTCCCAGAGACGTCGAAGTGGGGTACAGACTGACAATTTCCAGAAGAGGGGATGGTGGGGGAGATATAAACCACAGAACTGATATGCATGTATGCATGAACAATGGACATGGACAAAAAAGCTGGGGACAGGGCGGGGAGGAAGGAGGAGGGGGGAATCGAGGGGGGGAGGAAAAACATCTGTAACAAAAAAAAATTAATTTAAAAAAATAAATAAAAGCTGAGAGACTTTCCAGGCTGTAGTCAAAGAGAGATGGAATGATGGAAAACTGTCAGAAAATGACAGCTGGAGAAGGGTCCTCTCTTTGGCTCTGTAAGGTAGAGGTCAAGAGTAAAGAACAGAGAGAGGCAACCAGGAGCTAAGCGCAGCACCCAGCTGACAGCTATCCAGAAAATGGATACATCAGCCCTACGACCACATGGTAATTAATTATTCCAGCACTTGACTCAGCAAGGTAACTGTATAGGTCTCACTGGCTAAAATCAAGGTGTCAGCAGGGCTGCAGTGAGACCTGTACAGTTCTGATCACCAGGACTAAAAGTAATAAATTTGTGTTGGCTTAAAAAAAAAAAAATTTCATATGGGCCCGGCCCGTTTGCCTCAGTGGTTGTGTGTTGACCCACACACCATGGGGTCACCGGTTCCATTCTTGGTTGGGGCACATGCCCAGGTTGTGGGCCCAATATGCAGTGGAGAGCATGCAGGAGGCGACCAGTCAATGTTCTTCCTCATATGTATTTCTGTCTTTCTCTCCCTCTCCCTTCCTCTCTAAAATCTATGAAAAAAAATTTCTTAAATAGTTCATATGCAACCAAAAAATGTCCCAAATAGCCCCAGCAATCTTAAAAAAGGAAGGACAAAGTAGGTGGGATCACAATACCAGATATCAGGTTATACCACAAAGCCACTGTAATCAAAACAGCCTGGTACTGGCATGAGAACAGGAATATAGATCAATGGGACAGAACAGAGAGCCCAGAAACTGACCCAAGACATTATGCTCAATTAATATTTAACAAAGGGGGCAAGAGCATACAGTGGGGTAAAGACAGCCTCTTTAATAAATGATGTTGGGAAAACTGAACAGCTATATGCAAAAAAATGAAACTAGACCATCAACTTACACCATACACAAGAATAAACTCAAAATGGATAAAAGACTTAAATGTGACTTATGAATCCATAAAAATCCTAGAAGAAAATGTAGGCAACAAAATTTCAGACATCATACGCAGCAGAATTTTCACTGATACAATACCTAAGGGAAGAGAAACAAAGGGGGAAATGAACACATGGGACTACATCAAACTCAAAAACTTCTGCACAGTAAAAGAAACAACCATCAAAATGGAAAGGAAAACCACTATATGGGAGAGCATAATTGCCAACAATACATCAGATAAGGGGTTAATTTCCAAAATATATAAAGTGCTCATACAATTCAACAAAAGGAAGACAAAGAACCCAATTAAAAAATGGGCAGAGGACCTAAAAAGACACCTCTCCAAATAGGACATACAAATGGCCAAGAGACATATGAAAAAAATGCTCAACATCAGTAATCACCAGAGAGATGCAAATTAAAACTATGAGGTATCACCTCACACCTGCCAGAATGGCTGCCATCAACAAAACATCAAACAACAAGTGCTGGAGAGGGTGTGGAGAAAAGGGTACTCTGGTACACTGCTGGTGGGAATGCACACTGGTGTAGCCACTATGGAAAACAATATGGTGTTACCTCAAAATATTAAAAATTTAACTATCATTTAATCCAGTGATCCCACTTCTAGGAATATATCCTAAGAAGCTTGAAATACTAATCAGAAAGAATATATGAACCCCTATGTTCATAGCAGCACTACTTACAATTGCTAAGATCTGGAAACAGCCCAAGTATCCATCAATAGATGAATAGATAAAAAACCTGTGGTACATATATACAATGGAAATATATGCAGTTGTAAGAAAGAAAGACCTCTTATCCATTGAGACAACATGAAGGGACCTCAAGAGTATTATGCTTAGCAAAATAAGCCAGTCAGAGAAAGATAAATACCACATGATCTCACTTATTTGTGGAATATAATGATTAAGGTGGGCTGATGAATGAAATAGACTCAGAGACATAGAAAGGAGTATGGTTCAGACTGACAAACCTCAGAGGAGGGAGGTGGGGGGATGGATGTGATGAACTAAAGAATTTATATGCATGTATGCATAACCAATGGACATAGACAACAATGCTGGGGAAGGGCGAATTGTAAGGAGGATATCTAGTGGGGGGGGACGTGTAACAAAAATAAATGAATAAAAATTGGAAAAAATAAAAATATCCTCGGGTGAGGATTAACAAAAAATAAATAACTAAGTAATAAGGCTTTAAGCTGATGTGAGAACATAGAAAAAGAGAGACAGCTATGAGAGATACCATCAAAAAACTAACAGACATTTGTGTCAGGCTGGATGTCAAGAGTGAGGAATAAATTCAGTATAATTTATGAATGTATGAATCTGAGCAGCACTAGAACAGTGTTTTTAATAAAATATGAAAATCAGGAGTGAAAGCTCAAAGGTTATCACCTTTGATGAAGATATGTGATGATAGAGAACATGTAGGGGATAGAAACCATGATGGTTACTAAACTTGAGGCAATGGTGGGATAGAGTCCACTTTAGGTCACAAAACATTCTGAGGGCACAGGCCTATTGTTGGGGGCCCTAGTTACCTTTCTTGAGCTCGTCTTAGTACCAAAGGCCTAGGACTTTCACCTTCCCCTTTCTTCTCCCTGCCCCATACATCCCTGTTTTGGAGATCTATTTGAGTGTTCTTCCATAACCTCCAGTCTTTTTCTTAGATTAGCATGAAGTCATTAAACTCCAGGGAATTTGAGTGCCCTGCTCTCTACAAACAATCTCCCAGAGAGTGTCTCCTGGCCTGGCCTTGAATCCTCTCACTCTGCTCCTCACAATGAGATGGGTCTTGAACCATATTCCTACAACATGACTGAAGAGTTCTCAGGACAGCACACAGTGCTGACCAGCCAAGTTTGCCTCTCAACCGAGCCACAAGCCCTTGCTCTGGAACACCTCTCACTTTAGTTAGCAGATCAGGGGTCAAGCCTTGGCCCTCCCCCTCCTATCTAATCCTCCAAATTGACAGTAGAGATCAAATAAATGTACATCAACTGTGTCCAACTAAAGGTACCACATATACCCAATTCCACAGATGGACTGGGGACATGAAGTTCTACAGGAATGCTTCTAGATGTTCTTCATGGGTAGGGGCAGATTCCCTGACACTGCTGACATTATCAGTCTTATCAACAATAGCAATTTCTGGAGAAATAAGATGTTGGGGACAAAGGAAGGCATGATGGTTCTGTGGTGTGTGTCTGTGTGCCCATGTAAAGGTGCATGCATTGAACTAGCAGGCTTTTCCTGACAACCAAGGTAGATAAGGTCCTACATGGGATCACAAGACCAGAGTCAGAATAGGAATCTGAAAGAATTAAATACTCAGGCAAAGAGTGGAAAAACACAGTCACCAGGTAGAAAAATATTCATCTGAGGCCAGGAAAGGTGGGACTCGTGGAAACTCCAGCTACTAGCACTGCAAGTCCTGTACATCACACCTTGTGTATGGAAGTGGGCCTCCCCACTGAGCAGACCCTGAGCACTAACAATTGAATGAATGGTGATTCTATTGCACCATCTGAATACTTGTCATGCTCAGTAGGAAGCCAGTGATTGTTCAAATGGTACATGTCTTTTATTGGTATTACTTCTCTCCCCCTTTCAATCTAAATTTCCTTCTCCAAAAGTATCTATGCTTTAAATTAAAATTGCTAGAAGAGAGCAATATTTAAACTGAGGAATAAAGTGCATGATGAAAGCATTGGGAGAAGAAAATTTCAGACCCTAAATCCTGTAAGTAAAATTGTGCTGTTCTGAAGAAGCTTTACCCACCTTGATATACCACTTTTACATTGCCAGGCTTCTCAAGACACCCTTTATCAGACTGTTGGATAACTGCATATTCAGCATTACCTAATTTCCTCATAAATCTCTTGCCTTTTAATCAGCTAAATGGTTATATGCTGAATTTCCCTGATTTATTGAACATCTTATGAGGGCTGAGGATATGTCCAGATACTAAGTGATTAAATGTGGATGAAAATAGCACATCTCATAATGACAGAAAAGAGAATCATGATGAGGCATGCATAAGACCTCACAGACAGGAATGTGTACAGCTTCTTAAAAGGGCAGGCTCCAGAGCTGCAGAGAAAATTGCAATATCAAGCTAGTTTTTACTCAAAAATATACCCAATTTCTCTCACTAGAGATGCACTCGCATTCACTGGGTCCCCTCAGAATTCATGATTTCAGAGAGGCAGTGGTGAACTATAAGCTGCTAGCTAAGATGAAAGGAATTTTGGATTCTGTTTTCACCTTAGCCACCAATTGTGTGACCCTTGAGGAAGGATATTTCCACTTCTTCTTGGAGACCTCCATTCTCCATCTGTTAGTCGAAGGCGATCCCTGCTGAGGACAATCATCATAACACCCTCTTTTAAAACAAAACTTTCGGTAAGCACCGATCACCACTGTTGGGTGCTTCTGCTGCTCTAGGAAGTGCTCAGCCACAGAGAGCATCTCCCCCGCAAGAATAATTACTTATGTGGTCCCATCTCCAACCTCTTCATCCTGTGTTCAGCTAATTTCAATCATAGATTTATGGCTGCTGGATGCTGAACTTGAATCTCTCGAAGAATGACATTGCCATTATTAGTCATCACAATGCCTCCCATTGAATCCAAAAGCATCTTCATCATGAACGTGGGTCCTAAACATGTTCGGATGATATCTGCAATAGTCTTGGCAGCATTGATGTTTCCAGATTGAACTTTTCTTCCAGATTCACGCTTTGTGTTCTGGCCTCATTGACTGGCAAAAAAATAGGCCAATTGACATCCTTAGCCCCACTCCCTAAGCAAGAATGATGATATGACCAGCACCCTTAAGAAAATCAGTACTGCAGCTGTAAGAAAGAAAAATCTCTTAGCCTTTGAGATGATATGGAGGGACCTGGAAAGTACTATCCTAAGTGAAACAAGCCAAGCAGAAAAAGACAAATACCACATGATCTCACTTATATATGGAATATAATGAACATAATAGTTTTAGGAATAGGGTATACCCAGAAACATGGAAGTAGGGTACAGACTGACAACCCTCAGAAGAGGGGTGGTGGGGGAGTGGGAAGAGATAAACCACAGAACTTATATGCATGTATGCATAACCAATGGACATGGACAACAAAGCTGGGGAGGGGGCAGGGAGGATGGGGAGGAGGGTATCAATGGGGTAAAAAAGGAGAAACATCTGTAACAAAAATAAAATAAAATAATTTTTTAAATCTGATAATTTAAAAAAAAGAAAAGCAAATCAGTACTCCCGTAGATACCAGTAACCGAGATATGATGCTGAACATTAACAACAGCTCCATTACTACCAAAGCAATCAGTCGGTGATCCTCTTTGGCTTGCAACATTGCACTGGATGCTGTCAATACTATACATTTTGAGGAGAATGGTCGGAAGGAGATTGACATCAAGAAGTATGCAAGGGTGGAAAAGATACCTGGGGGTATCATTGAAGATTCATGTGTCTTACATGGAGTCATGATTAACAAAGATATGACCCATCCACGAATGCGGCACTATATCAAGAACCCTTGCATTGTGCTACTTGATTCTTCTCTGGAATACAAGAAAGGAGAAAGCCAGACTGACTACGAGATCACACGAGAGGAAGTGTTTACCCAAATCCTCCAAATGGAAGAAGAATATATCCAGCAGCTCTGTGAGGACATTATTCATATGAAGCCTGATGTGGTTATCACTGAAAAGGGAATCTCAGATTTAGCTCAGCACTACCTCATGCGGGTCAATATCAAAGCCATCCGCAGAGTCTGTAAGACAGACAATAATCGTATTGCTAGAGCCTGTGGGGCCCGGATAGTCAGTCAACCAAAGGAACTGAGAGAAGATGATGTTGGGACAGGAGCAGGCCTGTTGGAAATCAAGAAAATTGGAGATGAGTACTTTACATTTATCACTGAATGTAAAGATCCCAAGGCCTGTACCATTCTCCTCCAAGGGGCCAGCAAAGAGATTCTCTCAGAAATAGAACGCAACCTCCAGGATGCCATGCAAGTGTGCCGCAATGTTCTCCTGGACCCTCAGCTGGTGCCAGGGGGGTGGGGCCTGTGAAATGGCTGTAGCCCATTGCTTGACAGAAAAATCCAAGGCCATGATTGGTGTGGAGCAATGGCCATACAGGGCTGTTGCCCAAGCCCTAGAGGTCATCCCTCGGACCCTTATCCAGAACTGTGGGGCCAGCACCATTTGTCTGCTTACCTCCCTTCGGGCCAAGCATACCCAGGACAATTGTGAGACCTGGGGTGTAAACGGTGAGACAGGTACGTTGGTGGACATGAAAGAGCTAGGCATCTGGGAGCAACTGGCTGTGAAACTACAGACATATAAGACAGCAGTGGAGAATGCAGTTCTGCTGCTGCGGATTGATGACATCGTCTCAGGCCACAAAAAGAAAAGCGATGACCAGGGCCGGCAAGGCAGGGCTCCTCCTGATGCTGGCCAGGAGTGAGTGGTGGGCAAGGTGACCTCAACACACAGAGCCAACAGCCCCCCCTTCCCTGAGCCAGATTGCCAGGGACACTGTGGATGTCTTTGTTTGGAAAAAATCAGGTTGCACGGCAGCCCGTCTCTTTCTGTCCCAGCTCAGTTTGCAAAAGGCACTGACATGTAATTCTTCTCCATTGTAAGCTTTCCATTTAGTTTGCTTCCGATGACTAAATCTAAGTCATTTGATAAAAAATAAATAAATAAAACAAAACACTTTGATTTAACAGGAATTACGTTGGCTCCATAAAATGAAAGATTATTGTTTGTCACAGGTCTTTTGTTAACAAACTGCATTTGTTAAAGCACCACCTGCTGGAAACACCACTGATAATGCATGCCAATTTTCTGTGAGCTGCCATCAGAAAGGTGAGAAATATTAGCTACCTATCCACAAGGGAACCTAGTTTCAAAATGCAAGAAGTGAAAATGGCAGCAGCAGCAATGCTCTCTCTTCCTACAGTGTTACCACAGTCCAACTGCACAATTTATTATCTATACACAGCACTAGGGAGCAATCTAGCAACTATTATACTATTCAGCAGGGTTTCTTCAATGGCATAAATATCTACAAAAAATATTGAAAAATGAATATTGTTCTAATGGACTAAAAAAGAATTCACAGGAGATTCTCAACTTAAGAACATATTGTGTTTCAAAAGCTTGTGTATAAGCCAACATTTAAAAACATTATCCAGGCTGGTTCAACTAACACTGAGTCTTGACAGACTTATTTGAACAAGGATATGCAGCCTTGCAACACTGTTATTTAGTTGCTGAGTGGGAGTCACAGTATGGCTTCTCTGGCACACTGAACTCTTCAGTTTTAACTTGGGATGCCCAGAGTGGAACTGCTTTGCCCAACTCCAGAGGGAGCAGGTGAGGGGAAACACTAGGATTAAGGAGGATGAGTGGAAAGAACAGAGCAGGGTAAGATATCTTACTACCGAGGGATCACAATACCAGATATCAGGTAACACTACAAGGCTATTGTAATCAAAACAGCCAGGTACTGGCACGAGAACAGGCACATACATCAATGGAACAGAACAGAAAGCCTGGAAATTGACCCAAGACATTATGTTCAATTAATATCTGACAAATGTGACAAGAGCATACAATAAAGTAAAGACAACCTCTTCAATGAATAGTGCTGGGAAAATTGGACAGCTACATGCAAAAAATTGAAACTAGACCACCAACTTACACTATACACAAGAATAAACTCAAAATGGATATAAGACTTAAATGTGACTCATGAATCCATAAAAATTCTAAAAGAAAATGTAGGCAACAAAATTTCAGACATCACATGAAGCAGAATTTTCACTGATACGACACCTAAGGGAAGAGAAACAAAGGGAAAAATCAGTACATGAAACTACATCACACTGAAAAGCTTCTGCATAGCAAAAGAAACAACCATCAAAATGAAAAGGGAACCCACTATATGGGAGAGCATAATTGCTAATGATACATCAGATAAGAGGTTAATTTCCAAAATATATGGAGTACTCATATAACTCAACAAAAGGAAGACAAAGAACCCAATTAAAAATGGGCAGAAGATCTAAATAGACACCTCTCCAAACAAGACATATAAATAGCTGAGAGACATGAAGAAATGCTCAACATCACTAATCAACAAAGATGCAAATTAAAACAACTGTGAGGTATCACCTCACACCTGCCAGAATGGCTGCCATCAACAAATTATCAAACAAGTGCTGGTGACGGTGTGGAGAAAAGGGGACTCTAGTACACTACTGGTGGGAATGCAGACTCGTGTAGCCACTATGGAAAATATGGTGGCCCTGGCCAGTTTGGCTCAGCGGTTAGAGTGTCGGCCTGCAGTCCAGAGAGACCCAGGTTCGGTTCCCACTAAGGGAACGTACCCTGGCCCTGGTTGGGTGGTGCAGGAGGCAGCCACTCGATGTGTTTCTTTCACGTTGATGTTTCTCTCTCTCTCTCCCTCCCACTCTATCTGAACAAAAAATGGAAAAATGTCCTCGGGTGAGGATAAAAACAAAACAAAACAATATGGTGTTACCTCAAAATATTAAAAATTGAACTGCCATTTGACCCAGTGATCCCACTTCTAAAAATATATCCTAAGAAGCTTGAAATACCAATCAGAAAGAATATATGTACCCCTATGTTCATAGCAACACTATTTACAATTGCTAAGATCTGGAAACAGCCCAAGTATCCATCAATAGATGAGTACATAAAAAAGCTGTGGTACATATACACAATGGAATACTATGCAGCTGTAAGAAAGAAAGATCTCTTATCCTTGGAGATGATACAGAGGAAACTGGAGAGTATTATGCTAAGTGAAATAAGACAATTAGAGAAAGACAAATACCACATGATCACACTTATTTGTGGAATATAATGAACAAGGTGGGCTGATGAACAAAATGGACCCACAGACATCAAAAGGAGTATGGTTCAGACTGACAAACCTCAGAGGAGGGGGTTGAGGGGGAGGGGTGAGATAAACCAAAGAACTTATATGTATATATGCATAACAAATGAACATAGACAGCAATGCTGTTGGGCAGGGAACAGATTGGGAGGAAAGTGCCTAGGGGGAGAAAAAGAAGAAACATCTGTAACAAAAATAAATCAAGTAAAATAAATAAATAAATAACTTACTACCAACATGTACCCTACATAAAAGACCTTACTTTAGGTCAATTTTCCTTTAAATGTTCTGAACTTAGACCATAGACAAAGTTCATTCAATAAACACTCAACCATGAAAAAGGCTGTTGTTGACTGGGAAGAGCTCGACCTGTAGTGAGGAAGGGCAGGTAAACAGCACGCACTTCAATAAGAGCTACAAGGAAAATATAAACAAGCGCCTGGGTGCCTGAAGAAGGGGGACCCAGTCTGGCTGGCCTGAGAGGCTGCATAGAGGGAATGACATTTAAGCTCAGCCCTGACAGATATGTGGGATTCTATCACCTGAGGTTCCTAATGTCAGCATTTCCCCTATATATACAGGTTTATTCTTTTTGTTTTTATTTTAAGGTTTAATTTTAAGAAATAATCAGTGTATTAATCAAACTAAAAGTATTCTGAAACATGGGAAACATTTTTTTGTTGTTGTTAATCCTCACCCAAGGACATTTTTCCATTGAGTTTTTATAGTGCAAGGGAGGGAGGAAGAGAAACATTGATGTGAGAGAGAGTCATTGATTGATTGCCTTCTGCACCACCCCGGTTGGGGTCAGGGATTGAAATGTAAGCCAGGTATATGCCCTTGACTAGGAATTGAACCCATGACCCTTTGGTCCGAGGGCCAATGCTCTAACCACTGAGAAAACCAGCCAAAGCTTAGCATAACATTTTTCACTCATTGACAGTTGTTATTGGTAGGAAGTGAAAACCAACATCCATTTTAACTGGCTTCAGAGAATGAGAGGTTATTTCAATCTAAAAAAGAAAAAAAGGCCCTGGCCGGTTTGGCTCAGCAGTTAGAGCGTCAGCCTGCGGTCCCGAGAGACCCGGGTTCGGTTCCCGCTAAGGGCACATACCTCGGTTGCAGTTTGTCCCCAGCCCTGGTAGGTCGTGCGGGTGGCAGCCACTCGGTGTGTTCCTTTCACATCGATGTTTCTCTCTCGCTCGCTGTTCCTCTCTCCCCCTCCCACTCTACCTGAACAAAAAATGGAAAAATGTCCTCGGGTGAGGATAAAAAAAAAAAAAAAGAAAAAAAGAATTTTAAAATACTTATTCTGGCAAATGATCTGTGAGCTTACTCTGAATTTCCTTTCATTCCAGCATAGCTCCAAAGAGATAGGTTTATTTTACCTTACGGAAGACATGATTCTGAAAAGCTAGTTGTAAATAAATCTTGAATATATTAAGGCATTTAAAATCAAGAATGGGAACTGGTTGATCAAAGAAACCACACAAAGGATATATTTCCACAAAATCAAAATATTTTAATAATATGAAGACTTACACTCAATTTCTTTATTATATTTTTACCAAAAAAAATAAATTTTTACATACAGAGTTTTTGTCAAGTTGCATCCTGGTGGTTGATATCATGATGATACTGCCTATTAACACTTTTAGTGAAGGATTGTAAAAGTCTCATGATGTGTAAATATTTGGTATGAAGTAGTGTAGCATCCTCTTTTAACAATGAAGAGAGGGCTCTAGGTTTACTGCACTCCACTTTAATGCTTCTACGGTGCTCACACATCGATCTCGGGATTTCTCTAGTGCTGCCCCACCCATCTTCCTGCCATATGCAATTAGTCACTAGACCTCATCTATGGTTGTGGACAATGGCTGTGTCAGAAGGACAAAACTCAGAAGCCTCCAACTGAGGAAATCTATTTCAAAACTGCCCTGGACTACCCCTATTCCTGACCACCCAGCCCAGCCTAGACAGCCTTCTTTCAGCCCTGTTCTGAGGCTTGCTGTGTGGTTTTCTGCCTCATCCTGCTCGGCACCCTGTGCCTCGGAGACCCCGGACTGGGGCCCACACCTTCTCTCCTGAGACTAATGGGTGTTGGTCCTCAAACACATAGAAACACAGTCCTAGCCTTGGCTTCTGCTTTATCTTGGTATTTCTACTGTTGATACATTATTTTGTATTCCTTTGTAAAATCTAACAGTGGATCCAATCCAATGCTATGGAGTGTTTGCTCTCAGTCTGATATTCTTCCAGGTATCCCTTTGGTGGTCAGCAGGATCTGCTTTATCCCAGTGGCAGCTCCGTTTCCCAGGAAGCCTCAGGTGGACAAGTGCACCTACTTCTCCAGCTACAAGACTGCAGAGTTGGTCTCCTGGAGGTTCTCCTCAAGCTTCAGTCCCAGGTTGTCAATTCCAATGCTGGTAACTGGGGGCACGCTGCTCTCAGCTGGCTCTGCCGTGCGCGTTGGGGTGGAGCAGTACAGAATAAAGCCCACCATGATGACGGTGAAAGACAGGATGTAGAGCCCGGAAAACTAGGAGAGAGGAACAGCTTTGGATTATGCTCCTTCACAAAAACAACTTTGTGGCTGCCTTTTGTTAAAACCCTCATGTGTGTAGCCCTGGCCGGTTTGGCTCAGCGGTTAGAGTGTCGGCCTGCGGTCCTGAGAGACCCGGGTTCGGTTCCCGCTAAGGGAGCATACCTCGGTTGCAGTTTGTCCCCGGCCCTGGTCGGTCGTGCGGGTGGCAACCACTCGATGTGTTCCTTTCACATCGATGTTTCTCTCTCTCTTGCTGTTCCTCTCTCTCCCTCCCACTCTACCTGAACAAAAAATGGGAAAATGTCCTCAGGTGAGGATAAAAAAAAAAAAAAAAAAACCCTCATGTGTGTATGTGTGAATGCCTGGTTTCTAACATCACCTGGCACATCAGCCAATGGCTCTTTACATCTATAGGAAATGGAACTTTTGCCTTTTTCTGTGACAATCTAGCTGCACTCCACCTCACAACTACTCCTAATTAATTAAGAGAATAAAATGTCAGTATGGATACCATGAGAGAGCCCAATTCAGACCCAAGGCACAGCTTGCAATATTGGAATGAAAGAGGAACACAGGACCTAAGATAAAATGTGGACATAGAGCCCCAGCTGGGTGATTCAGTTGGTTGGTGTGTGGTCCCATTCACCAGAAAAGGTTGTAGGTTTGATTACCTGTCAGAGCAGATGCCTGGGTTGCAGGTTCAGTCCCCAGTCAGGGCACATACAAGAGGCAACTGATCAGTGGTTCTCTCTCACATGGATGCTTCTGTCTCTCTCTCATCTTGGTCAAAATAACAATAATAATAATAATAATAAACATATCCTTGGGTGAGAATTTTAAAAAATGTGGATGTACAGATGTGACAACTTGTCAACAATCCCTCATGTATGCTATTCCAATAAAATTCACTTGGTAAAAATTTAGTAAATTTCCTTGTTTCACTCAGCAAGTGTCACTTAGTGAAATTCACGAATGACTGAGCAGATTCCAATTTTTAGAGCTGGAAAGAACCTAAAACATCATTTTTTCAGAAGAGTCTGAAACCCAAAGAGATTACTGGTATAAGGTTCAGTTGGACAACCACAGAGAATGGAGCCCAGCAGGAGTCTTAGAAGGACTGATTATAAGCAAGAGCCCATTCTGACAGACACACACATCGAAGATGGAGTTTCCACTGGCCTTCCCCAGCCTGCCTTTTTTGTAGGGCTGAAAACAACCACCCAGAACAAAATGCAATGCAGACAATGCTAATTCACTTGTATTTTTACTGAAAATGACATTCTGACATTCTTCAAAGTTTAAATAAATAGTAAGTACTCTGTATATTTCCTTTTATTTGAATTGAGGATCCATACAAAGGTTCACGTGTTAAGGAAATTTGTATTTGTTTTTAACAGCATGAAAAATAAAACACAGAAAGAGAACAGAGAAAGAATGACCAAGAATGATATAGTAAAAATTAGGGAAATTATGTAACATAATGAACATGTAATTAAAAGCCTAGGATCACTTATTTTTTTCCCTTGGAACAAGAAAACTCAATTTATAAGTGGTCCTGCTAACCCTATTTTAAAATTAAGAATGGGGCATGCTACTTTATTCAAGCCAATAAATGCTTTTAAATTAGCTTAGATTTCATAGTATGCCCAATAAAAAGTCTTAATCAGGGGATAGCAAAAAAAAAACAGTAACAAAAGAGAATGGGTTGGAAGGAGAAGATAAAGATGAGAGAGAGGGAGAGAGCAAAGAAAAAGCAAGATACACTTCCAAAGATAGAAGGAAAAACTAAATAGGTTTGGAATGAGTATTAGGTAGGTTGCTGGTCATCTCCAGGCTTCTGTGGGTCACCACTGACTTAGATATCTGAATATTTTATAGATGCTCAATTACTTCTTAACCTTAAACCTTTAGAACTGCTTAAGCAATGTAAAAGCCACAGCCCTCCCGAAGGCAGAACAGCCTTCACTGCATTCAGTGCTGATGCAAAGCAAATGTTAATGTCAAGGTAAGCAACTCAACTAATTTTCTATTACTGGATCCAATACTCAGCACAGTGCCCAATACACAGCTGGTGTTTAATAATGTTTATTGGGGGAAAAAAGAAAAAAAGAAGAGAAAAAGATTCAGCCCTGGTTGGTGTGGCTCAGTTGATTGATCACCATCCTGTGCACCAAAAGGTCGCTGGTTCAATTCTCAGTCAGGGCACATGCCCAGGCTGCAGGCTTGGTCCTTGGTCAGGGTGCATATGGGAGGCAACCTACTAATATTTTTCTCTCTTTAAAATCAATAAAAACAAATTTAAGAAAAAAATAAAATATATATTTTTAGTATTTAGAGACTACTGGAGGAAGCCAAAGCTATTTACAGTAACCTAAACTTTTCAAGTCAGTATTATGAAAGTTAATCATGCTCTCCTATAAAATGTTCACTGTTACCTGAGGGAAAGCCTATATAACTTATTCAAAACATGTCCTGTTGGGTTTGGTGGTTTTAAATATTTAGAAGGAAAAGTATCTTGTCTCTCTTAAGAAAGCAGGTGATTAAATTGAGGCACCTTTATTAGAAGGGAGAGACTGTGAGGGAGTGAGGTAAGTCTCCTGAATTAGACACTTTTATCTTTTTTTAAAATTTTACCCTGTGTCTGGATCTATACTGGAAGATTCTGTGGCTATTCTATCCAATAGGCATTTACTCAAGATCATTCCAAAGTAGGCAGAGTCTGACACAGATGAGTGCAGAAAATTTTAAACCTCTTTTCGATTGTTTCAAAAAAAATCAGAGCTTGTTATTTTAGCAACTACAATTTTAAAAATTGGTGGTATATTGGACTATGATTCTGTTTTTAAAAATTACTTTAAATATGCTAGATATCTTCTTTAGGCTTAGTTTTCCACCTCTATAATTGACTCTGAAAATCACAGAAGATCTTCTCTTTGCTCTGTGTCTTGAAATGACCTTTGAACAAAAATGATAAAATCTGATCTGATTCAAGAGTGAGCTGCTAGACATGCAAAGAAACAAAAAGCAAAACAGCTGGAAAGGAATTTACAATTTGTAGTCTCCAATTTTGAGAATAGTTTAAAGTCATGTGGCTGAAAAAATGGCATACATAAAGGCTTTCTCATATTACAGTTAGAGCCATTAAAGAGCAAATATTTGCATTCAGGGAGCTTCTAATAATTCGGTAGTGACAAGTGTACTTTTACCTCTAAGCTTTTATTTCTTTAACCTTACTTCCTCCTTGGGCATTATTTTACTTATGAGGGAGGTGAATTTTAAACTACTAAAGCTAAATCAATATGTTTGGTTTAAAAAAAAAAAAAAAAGCACAGGTGAGCAAGGGCTATTGGTTATACTGTTGAGTTCTCAGGCTTTCTTTGGATATTGTAGCTATCAACTGCCTTCAACTGCAGAATAGAAACACCATCATCCTCTAGTGGTGGCTATGTGAAATACAAGCACAGTACTACAGAATTCATTTTCACTGTGGGGAAAAAAATGTAGGCCTGTGGAGATCACTGATTCACTTTGACATTTTTTTACTGTTTAATGGGGCTATTAAAACTCTAAAAATACCCTTTTAGTCTTAATTTAGGAATACCTTCACCAGCAAGTTTGCAAAGATAACAACAGCAGATTCCTCCCACATGTAACCTTGCAGGGCAAAATGATTTACACTCCTTAAGTAGAAATTTCAGAGAACTCACTAAACTAAACAGTGTGAGTTCATAGCCAATTACTGGACAAAGTAAATCAATGCTGAAGATTTCTGTCTGGATACAAAATTGTACAAAGACGAAGCAATGTAATTGCTATCCCCTACTGAAACTAAAATTATCAAGTGACAGACAGCCAATATCCTATTTATTCAAATGACTGTGAGAAAAGATATCACACAGGTTAACAAGCATTTACTGAAGATATACAACAGGAAGATTGATCTTTAAGGCAGCAGTTCTCAAAATGTGGTCCAAAGATTCTTGAAGATACCCAAGAACTTTTCAGGAAGTATATAAGGTCAAAACTGTTATTATAATAATAAGAAGATTCAATTTGCCTTTTTCACTTACATTCTCTTAGAAGTCTCTGGAACACTCTTGGAATGTTCCAGAGACTATAAGACGTGATTTAACCAGGCAGAATGAAGAACCACTGTGAGAATACAGCTGTTTTCCATTAAGCCATACATACAGAGACATTTTTCAATGTAAATCAATGCCATTTACACTAAATTTTATTGTGGGGAAATAAAGTGTTTTCAAAGAAAAGTTTTATGCTAATATATGAGTTATTATATTTTTAATGAATTAAATATTTTTTTCTTAATTTATTTTTTTTTGTTACAAATGTTTCTCCTTTTTCCCCCACTGATTCCCCCCTCCCCCTCCCTTCCCGCCCTCTCCACAGCTTTGTTGTCCCTGTCCATTGTTCATGCATACCTGCATATAAATTCTGTGGTTTATCTCTCCCCCCAACCCCCTCTTCTAAGGATAGCCAGTCTGTACCCCACTTCCACGTCTCTGGGACTGCCCCATTCCTCAACTGTTATGTTCATTATATTCCACAAATAAGTGAGATCATATGATATCTGTCTTTCTCTGTTTCGCTTGTTTCGCTTAGGATGACACTTTCCAGGTCCCACCATGTCTTCTCAAAAAATAAGAGATCTTTCTTTCTTACACCTGCATAGTACTCCATTGTGTATATGTATCACAGTGTTTTATCCATTCGACTACTGATGGGCATTTGGACTATTTGCAGATCTTAGCTATTGTAAATGGTGCTGCTACAAACATGGGGGTACATATATTCTTTCTGATTGGTGTTTCAGGCTTCTTAGGGTATATTCTTAGAAGTGGGATAACTGGGTCAAATGGAAGTTCGATTTTTAATATTTTGAGGTAACACCATATTGTTTTCCATAGTGGCTGCACCAGTCTGCATTCCCACCAGCAGTGAACTAGAATCCCCTTTTCTCCACACCCTCACCAACA